TTGAAAGAAAAAATTGAAATACTAAAAATGAAATGAATAATATCAATGACCCTATTTCATAAAGACGTCATCAACCAAAACAAACTGCTATTATCCAAAGAAAAGGGAATATAGCAAACTCAACAAAAATGAAATGTCTTTCAGTAAATTAAATCTAAAATACCATATTAAAATAATACATTGTTCATATGTGACGTCATTATGAAATAGGGCAACTTAAAAGATATTTGGTTAGAGGACTGGCAAAACAAATCTATTCGTTTAACCACAATATTGTGGCTTTCATAGAAATACGAAAACTCAAAACTCCAACATTTTGTTTTTGATTTCATTTGAAATACTGTGTAAACACGTCTATTATTTAGCTGTTAAAATAATTTCTAAATACCTTTAATCTGAAAGTAGAAGGATAACATGATAAAAAGTCAACAACTTACTATTTGAATCATTTGAGTGAAATAACTGATCATCGTGCAGGTCTAGTCCTAGATAACCATCACTGCCAGTCCTCTAGCCACTTATATTAGATATAGGAGAGTGTGTAGATACCTGAAACTGAAATAGCAAAGACATGTAGATTACTCTTAAATAAGGACAGGAAAAATAAGTCAGACAAGTTTACCATAGCAACTAGTAAATGGGTTCTCAGTAAAGACAAACAAAACAAGAAACAAAAAATAAGCAAAAATTAACCATAACTGTTGTTCTGTCTCAATTCAATTTTCATATTTTTGCAAATTTTATTGCCTTTGCTTTAACTGGCTGGTCATTTCTGGCTACATTTATAACTTTACTGAGAGCCCTGCACTAGTTTGACACACTCTCCTATATCTAATATTATTATCATTCTTTATTATTTGTACACCAGAAAAATGAAATACACTTGATACCTCCCACGAGGTCCTACCAGCACCTAACAGAAGCTGCCCCACCAGGCCAGGAAACCATAAAAGGTGGTACAACATTGCTGATTCTCGGCAGAGTCTAACCTTGAGGCCATGATCAGAGGACTGCTCTGGCGATGATGGCTGTCGGTAAGGATACCAGGTGATGGCTCTCTGCAGATTTCATGGGAGTGCGCTGATGGCGATTGCTGGCCACTGTGAAGGTTAGTGTGAGTAGGAGCAGAGATAATCGTATCTCACTATTCATGGGTGTGTACAGCAGTGATAACTTTGGGGTGGTGTGCTCGATAGACTTGCATAAGACACCATTCAGACTTTCATACAAGTAGATTAACAAACTGGGAAGACTAGAAGTTGAATCATTTCTAGGTGA